TGCACTCAGCACCCCCAGAGCAGCAGGGGGGCCGGGGCAGGGGGTGCAGAGCTTACCTGAGAGCAGAGAGGATCTGGGTGCACCAGCGTTTCCAGGCCTGGGGAGCAGAAGAAGAGCTCGGGCTCAGACGGGGCGAGTGGGACGTTCCCACCTGCTGCCCCGGGGCTGGGGACACCTGCCCTGTGCCACCTGCAGACAGGGGACACGGGCTGACCCAGCAACAGCCTCCTGCCCAGCCTCTGCTGCACCACCAGCACAGCTGAGAACCATGGAATGAGTTGGGTTGGAGGGACCTCAGAGCCCACCCAGTGCCCCCCTGCATGGGCAGGGACACCTCCCAGCAGCCCAGGCTGCTCCAAGCCCCATCTAACCTGCCCTTCAACACCCCCAGGGATGGGGCAGCCACAGCTTCCCTGGGCAACCTGGGCCAGGGGCTCCCCACCCTCACAGCCCAGAATTTCTCCCTCCCATCTCAGCTCCAGCTCCCTCTGCCAGCTGGAAACCCTTCCCCCTGCTCCCATCCCTCCCTGCCCTTGTCCCAAGCCCCTCCCCAGCTTTCCTGGAGCCCCTTCAGGCCCTGGAAGCTGCTCTCAGGTCTCCCTGGAGCCTTCTCCTCTCCAGGCTCAACACCCCAACTCTCCCAGCCTGGCTCCAGAGCAGAGGTACTTGCTGTCCCTCACAAGACACCACAGCTGCTGTCACAGGGCCACCCACTCCACATGGGACACCCTGTGCCTGCTCCCTGGAACCTACCCTTGCATTCATGGCCTTGTGGTTTTTCTTTGTTTTCTTCAGGAACTGCTTCAGGCTCCCTGAGGACACATACTCTGTGATGAAGATGACCTGGGGGGCAGAAGAGGTGTCAGCTCCCAGCCCGTGGGAGGGAGGGGGCAGCAGTGACCCCGGGAAGAAAGGGGAGTCTCGTGGAGAAGGGTGGGGAGCAGAGCTGGGAGACCCCCTCCCCGAAACCCCTGAAGCCCCCCCCAGCTCTCCTTGCCATCCCCAGCCTGGGGACCCCTCCCCAGCCTCCTCCCTACCCGTGCCTTCAAGTCCTTCACATCCAGCCAGTACTTGTGGAGCTTGACAATGTTGGGGTGATCCACCAGCACCAGCTGCTCAAACATGGTCTTGATCTTCTCCTGCGGGCAGAGGGAGGACAGGTGAGGTGGCAGGTCCTGGGACCTCTGGGAGCAAGGAAACCTGGGGAGCAGGCTGTGCCTGGTTTGGGGTACAGAGGACACGTGGAGCTGGCTTTGGGACAGTACCCAGGGGAAGGTGCAGAGCCCCCAGGACAGGAGCCCAGGGGGACAGGCTGGCCAAGCTGTGCTGCCACCCAGGGAGGTCGGGGGGGGGTCTCGGGGGGTCCCTGCCCAGAGGGGCTGGCTCACCTCGTGTGCTTTGAAGGCCTTCTTGTCAGTGAAGAGCAGCTCGTTCCAAACCACCTCCACGCCCTCCTCCGTGTCCATGGCCAGGAAGGTGCTCTGGATGCCTGGCATGTTCCCCTGGTTCACCTGGGGGCACGGGGGGTGTCAAACAGCCCCCTGGCCCCTCTGCCAACACTCCGACCTCATCCTGGCTCCATCTCCCCTGTCCCTGGATAAACCATTTCCTCCCATCCCCCTGCAAATCACTCTGGTCCAACACCTGAACCTTTCCTTGGAGCAGTTCCCATCCCAGCTTCTCCTGACCCCACGTGGACCCCTCAACCCTGCAGCCACGGGGGAGCAGCCCAGGCCCAGGGTGGTGGTCACACAGGGCAAATAAGAAGGTCCAGACAAACCAAAGCCACAACATCAGCTCTTCTAACATCCCAAGAGGACACGGGGCAACCACCCCCAGGGTCTGTCTGATGAGTTCCCACCCCTGAGGTCACGGAGCTGCATCCCAGGACCTGGTGGAGAGGGGACAGCACCTGGACATCCCCTCTACAGGCCCTGTCCACCATGGAACCAGTGGCTGCAGCCCTGTCCCTGTGCTGGGTCCGTGCCCACCCTGGGCAGCATCAGATCATCCCTCCCAGGCTGCCAGGTCCCTGCAGAGCCTGCTCACAGGAAACCCAGTTCTGAGAGGGGCTCAACAGCCCTGAGACCCCCAGACCCTCAGACCCCCAGGAGCTGGAGGTCCTGCCTGCTGGGATTGGTGCCTCCTGCATCCTGTTCTGCCACAGAACCATGGAATGGTTTGGGATGGAAAAGCCCTTTAGGATCCCCCAGCCCACCCATTCCCCCAGCCCTGCCCATTCCCCACTGCCCCGTGTCCCTCAGCACCATCCCCAGGGCTTGGAAACCCCCCCAGGGATGGGGACTCCCCCCCTGCCCTGGGCAGCCTGGGCCAGGCCCTGACAACCCTTGCCAGGCAGGAATTGTTCCCCAGATCCAACCTCAGCCTCCCCTGGCACAACTCGAGGCCCTTCCCCCTCGCCCTGTCCCACCAGAGCAGCTCTGCAGCCCCAACCTGCCCCTTCCCTCCCCCAGCAGGCCCGGGGGGCAGCCACGGGGGGGCCAGGGCCGTGTCCCCCCTGCCTGGGCAGGGGCTCCTTGTCCTCTCCAGGACTGGGATTGTCCGGCTGTTGGAGGGATGAGACGTGTCATGGCATCACTGAATCACCAAGGCTGGGAAAGACCTTTAAGGTCATCAAGTCCATCTATGACCTGACACCACCACATCCCCAGACCAGGGCACCAAGTGCCACCTCCAGCCTTTCCTGAAGCACCTCCAGGGATGGTGCCTCCATCACTTCCCTGGGCAGTCCATCCCAAGGTCTGATCACTCTCTCCATGAGGAGGTGCTTCCTGATACCCAACCTAAACCTCCCCTGGAGCAGCTTCAGGCTGTGCCCTCTTGTCTTGTTGCCTGGAAATAGAGCCCAGCCCAGGGCAGTGTCCCCCAGGGTGGTGGCAACAGGGCTGGCAGGGGGACAGCTGGGTGAGCTGGGCCCAGTTCCTGGACAGGACACAAAGCTCCTCTGTTCCCGTCCCCTCCACCCACAAGCTCCTCCTGCTGCTCCGGCTGCCGGTGGGGAATGGCCAAGCCACAGGAGCTGCTGCTTGGGAAGGGGCTTTGGGACCACCCAGTCCCACCTGGCCCTGCCCAACACTGACCCCATGTCCCTCAGGGCATTATTCACCATCAGGGTGGGGAGCCCCTGGCCCAGGTTGCCCAGGGAAGCTGTGGCTGCCCCATCCCTGGGGGTGTTGAAGGGCAGGTTGGATGGGGCTTGGAGCAGCCTGGGCTGCTGGGAGGTGTCCCTGCCCATGCAGGGGGGGCTGGAACTGAATGATCTTGAAGGTCCCTCCAACCCAAACCAGGCTGTGAGTCAAATGGAGAGCACAGCCCCAAACAGCCTGTTTGCCATAGGGACATGTGGGAGCCCTGCAGGGAGGTGACTGATGCTCTAAGGCACAGCTGGGTCTGAAAACCTCAGGTGTCACCTCATCATCATCATCATCATCATCATGTCAGGGCCACAACGTTCCTGCAGGTGCTGGGCCTGCAGCAGGACCCCCCTCACAGGACCATCACAGCCCATCCCCACACCTGGATGAAACAGGTCCCTGAAGGTCCCCCCTGTCCCTGGGCAGGCAAAACCACCTCCTGCAGCTCAGGGCTTGAGGGAAGGAGAGCCAGGCTGGGCTGGACCATCCACCTGTCTGAGAGGGACCCACACAGGGGGTCTGGGGTTGTCCCTCCACCACAGCCTCCCAGCTCTGAGCAACCTGCTCACTGAGCCCAAACTGGAATCCTGGTGCTGAAGGCTCCAGATACTGGACCTGTTGGTATCTGGGAGGCTCTGGGCCCTGGTGAGGAGCATCAGACAGGCCCAGAGGGGAGGAAACGTTTCCTGTTCCCTGCAGATGTGCTCAGACTTGAGCTGAATGACAATAAGTGACACGGAGCAGCTGCCACCAGCTCCAGGCTGCACAAACAAACAGATGCTGCTGCATGAGCAGAGCTCATGGAATCACAACAGTCTGTGTTGGGAGGGACCTTCCAAGCCCATCTCACCCAACCCCTGCATGGGCAGGGACAACTTCAACCAGACCAGGTTGCTCCAAATTCCGTCCAACCCAATCCTGAATGTCTCCAGGGATGGGGCATCTCCCTCCTCTCTGGCCAACCTGGGCCAGGGTCTCACCACCCTCAGTGTCAAAAATGTCCTCCTGATCTCTAAATCTCCCTTCCTTGAGCATAAAACCATCCCCCCCTGGTCCTGCCACCACAGGTCCCCAGCTGACTGGGGCCAAAGGAACAGGACACAGGTCACCCTGCCTGTCTCACCACCTTGATTATCAAACCACCTTGCCTGTCTCACAGCCCCTTGCCTGTCTCAGCCCAGGCCCTTCAGGGGGTGCTGCTGGTGCTGGACACCACCTGGAACAGACAAACCTCCAGAGCTGGACTGGACAAGCTCCCTGCTCCAGCTGCTTCCAGCAAGTCCTTGGCAGGAGCTGAGGCCAGGCTGGAGACACCACTGGGGACAAGTAAGTGCAGCTTCAAAGAAGATCAGGCTGCATCTTACCAGAAGTCACTCCCTTCTGGGCTCTTCAGGTCAAGAAGGTCTGAAACAGCCCAAGGAACCAGCTGAGTGATGGGATGAGGGGCTGTGGGGCTGAGTCGGGGGCTGGAGAGCCAGGGATGGGCACTGCTGCTCCCCTGGCAACCCCACCCGTTTGGAGAAGGGCACAAGGACAAGGTGGGTCCTTACATGTCCTGGGTGGCTCTGGGAGGGTGGGGAGGAGGCACAGCTGGAGAGGACACCTCACAACCAGCCCCTGCTGCCCCATCCCTGCAGAGGGACCCCCTGCCACCCTCCCCTTCCCCCAGAGCAGCCCCTGATGCCATCGGGACCACCCGTGGGGCTGAGCACAGAGCAGCCCCAGAGCCCTCCCTGCTGGTGGCCCCACTCCCAGGATCTGGGCACAGGAGCAGCAGGTCCAGGGGTGGCCAGGGGGACAGTGGCCCTGACCCCCAGGAGAAGGAACTTCTTCCCCCAAAGGGTTGTCAGGGCCTGGCCCAGGCTGCCCAGGGCAGGGGGGGAGTCCCCATCCCTGGAGGGGTTTCCAAGCCCTGGAGATGGTGCTGAGGGACGTGGGGCAGTGGGGAATGGGCAGGGCTGGGGGATCCTAAAGGGCTTTTCCACCCAAACAATTTCATGATTCCTGTGGGTCCCTTCACCCCCACAGGGCTGACAGTGCCAGGAGAGAGTGTGATGGAAAGGAAGGAGAAGGAGGAGAAGGAGGAGAAGGAAGAGAAGGAGGAGAAGGAGAAAGGAGAAAGAAGGAGGAGAAGGAGAAAGAAGGAGAAGGAGAAAGAGAAGGAGGAGAAAGAGAAGGAGGAGAAGGAGAAGAAGGAGAAGGAGAAGGAGAAGGAGAAGGAGAAGGAGAAGGAGAAGGAGAAGGAGAAGGAGAAGGAGAAGGAGAAGGGAAAGACAGAGTTTCCTTCTCAAACCCTGAGCCCTGTCATCACCATGGAACAGTGTTGGGGCACTGTTGGATTAGCAGTTGGACTTGATGGTCTTGAAGGTCTCTTCCAAACAAAATTATTCCAAGATTCTATGATGACCATCCCAACTGTGCCTACAGAAAGACAGGGGAGCCCTTCAAGAGGCCACCAGGAGATGCCTGACCAGGCTGGAGACTGACCTGCAGCCTCCACACATCCCGAGGCTGAAAGGAAAGGGACCAAAGCTCTTCAGGGATTTTCTGGAATGGTGCTGACCCAGAGACCAGGGGAAAGATGTAGCATGGAATCATGGAATTGTTTTGGCTGGAAAAGACCTTTAAGATCATGGAATCCCCCCATTCCCCCAGCCCTGCCAAGGCCACCACTGCCCCATGTCCCTCAGCACCATCTCCAGGGCTTGGAAACCCCTCCAGGGATGGGGACTCCCCCCCTGCCCTGGGCAGCCTGGGCCAGGCCCTGCCAACCCTTGCCAGGCAGGAATTGTTCCCCAGATCCAACCTCAACCTCCCCTGGCACAACTTGAGGCCGTTCCCTCTTGGCCCAGGGCTTGTTCCTGGGGAGCAGAGCCCGACCCCCCTGGCTCCAACCTCCTCTCAGGCAGGTGCAGATCAAGGAACCCAAGGTCCATGAAGGTGACCAAGGCAGCTGCCAGGACCCTGCAAAATCATCCTGTCCCTCCTGGAGCAGGGACACATCTCATGTGGGATGGAACCTCCTCCCCACCCCCTGCCCCACCAGAGCCCCTGGCTGGTGGTGACCAGGACACCAGGATTGTGATGCTTTCCATGTGCACAGGGCACCTGAGTCCTCGTGACATGGGGACACATTATCCCTCCTGGCAGGATTTGCTGGGGCCACGAGGCTGAGCAGGGAACATGATGTGCCCAGGAGGGCACTGGGACAGAGCAAAACCCAACCTGACCCTGCCCTCCCATATCTCATCAGCCTGGGGACAGTAAGGGCTGTGTCTGAGCTCCTCAAGGGACTTCTGCTCAGGTTGCAGTTGGCAAGAGGTGGGGACACACCTTGGGCAGCAGAGACTGTGCCC